CAGCGCCCCTCCCAGCCTGCCCCTGAGATTTTTACTGCGGAGGAAAACTCCTGGGGTGGGGGGATCAATCCCCTCCCCCCCAAAAACTGGTGCAAACGTCCGGAGCCGCTTCCCCGGGCTTCCCCCGCCCCTTCCCGGGCCGAGTTCACCCCGGGTTTTGGCTGCGGCTCCCTGCTTCCAGGCCCGGGTCCAGGCGGTGCTGTTCGGTCCTCCCGCAGTGCGCCACACCGCGGGGTTAAAGTCTGGTTTCCACTCCAGCGGGCTGAAATGCGGCGTGCGGGCAACCCGCCGCCCTCCCCTGCTGCTGGGGGTGAAGCCTATTTAAGGGGGGGAGTTACCCCGTAAGCTGGGACCCTTCTCGCTTTCTGTTCTCCTCGCTGTCTTGCCCGGAGGTGCCCTTGGCCCGTAGGAAGGACAGATCTCTCCCCAGTCAGGTGTCTGCCCAAATCAGAGGGCGTGGGACGCAGACACTGTTTTGGGGAGACACCAGATTCGCCCGCCTGGTGTAAACGGGTTCGAATAGCGCCCGGGCGGGGAGGAAACACCGAACTTCTGTATTCCTTGCTCGGCGCGTTTATCCGCGGACGCGCGGGCTGAGGGCGCAAGGAAATGGACAGAGCCGTTTACACGGGAGTCCGCGGGGATCGCAGCCCTAAATCGAGAGGCGGCCTTTGGTTCTGCTCTCTTGGCGGGGCTGGAGACGTGGGGGGATTTGGAAGTGAAGGCTCTAGAAAAGGCGTCGAGCTAGAAAGCGAAGGAGAGTGAAAATGGTTCTGCCCTAGGAGGAGAAAAAAAAAAGGTTTGGTTGGAAGCAAACCGTTGAATGTTGCCAGGCCCTCCGCGGCCACACACAGGACCGCTCCGAAACCCCCTAAGTCTTCTCAGTATCGCCAGGGGGTTGTTAAACGGCTCCTCGGCGACCCACAGATGGAGGCAGGCTGTAGGAATAAAGCGGAGTTTATGACATTCACGATCCAACGGAGGGACACATCTCCACGGGGAAACAAAATTCATTCCTCCTGGGGCAGAGGAAAATCAAGCGCTTTAGGAACCAGGGAGCCTGCGGTGTCAGATCCAGTGTTCCCCTGGGTCTGTAAAAAACAAACCAAGCAACCCAACACAATGTCTCTTTCCCGGGTTAAAAACCAACCCAAGCCCTCCGCTTTTTGTTAACCCATCATTTAAAATGGAAGCTTCTGTAGCTGTTCATTTGGGGATTTCGGGGTTTTTTGCAAGCACGCTCGGTGGGTAAAAAGAAAGGCTAAAAATGAATTAAAATGTGTGTGTTTGATGTGTCCAGCGGTTAAAAAAAAGGACCAGTGTAACGTGTCAAAACCTGCCACTCTATTTTCCAGAGCTTTTGGAAAACACCCGTTTGGTTGTCGAGCAAATAATGTGGCAAGCAAGCTCTCCTGTCTGCCCGCCGGCTTTTTCCCACCCCTCTTTGAAAAGAACAATTCGATTTCATTTCGACTTTGAAAGCGACTTCGCTCGGATCCATTCGGCTTCGTTCACCTGGCTCCTTGGCAGCTGTAACACATTTCCTGCCGCTGTTTGATCCCGCGTGGGAGCTGCGGGGAAGGGAGGGCGGGTTGCAGGATCCTTTTGCGAAGAGTAACATTTAGGCTTTTCAAGAGAGAGTCCGGTTTGCGGGTGCCCGAAAACGGAAAGTCGTTTTGAAAAGGGGCAGCGAACCAATTAAAGAGCCGGGCGAAGAGGAGCGGCTGCGGTGTGTCCCTTTACATTAAAGCAAAAGGGAAGCGATCCGTGCCTGCAGGAGACACCGCGGTTTGTCTTCCCACGAGAAGATCCGAATTCGTGCTCTGGATCCGGATCGCCCATCGCTCACAGCGAATCGCTCATAAAAGGGGGTTATTATTTCTGTTCTTCCGAGGGAGCCAGCTTCTCCGGAGGGGGGAAAACAGAGCCTTCCTAGCCTTGTCAATTTCACTTCGCTCCACGCCTGGGTGCAGCGGATTGGACACCGTTTCAAAGCGCTGCTGTTGTGTGTAAACCCAGCCCGAAATCACTCCACTTCGCTTTCGCAAACAGGGGCGATTCCAAACCCAATCCGCCCAGAAACTTCCCCGGGAGGGAAACAACCAGAAAGTAAAATCTCCAGCCTGTGCTTTGCTGCCGGGTGCAAGGCCCATGTACCAGACAGTCCAGCTTGTCTAGGGCAACCAGGGAGCGGT